TTAAATAATTAAATTTATTTTTTATAATAAATTTAATGTATATTCGTACATTATTTATATAAATAAAAAATTAGTATATCATTATATTCGTGATAAATATTGAATTTACCTACATAAATAATACAAATAAATATTAAATTTGTTTAAAAAATTAAATAATCAAAATCAATAGATTTGATTAACTTTAATCTCTCTTGTGGAATGTATTTTCCCACTTAATTCAATGGTCCGTATAACTACAACTGCACTTGGCATTTATATGCATATGTTAAGTTGTTTTGATTAAAATTTTTGAAATAATTGATAATTAATTGTTAAATTTGATGATTAATAATTATTAATATTTATAATTTAAAATATTTAATTTATTTAATTAAAATCAATAATTAATAATTATTTTGAAAAAATTAAAACAAACACTTATGATATAAAATATAGACTTGCAATATATAGAGAAGATGAGGAATAGAAAGTTTACCAAAATTCTCTTTCATATATAGGGATGACAATTTCTTCCATGACCTGCGAAGCTTCACGGATATCCCCACCACAAGAATTGAGATTCCAAAAATATTTCTCCCCATGAGGTGGGGATAGAGGCATTATTTTCCCCGTGAAATTTCACGAGAAATTTCTTCCGCCCCGTGAGGTATCATGAAGATCTATATAAAATAAAAGAAAATATAAATTTATTTATATATTTTTTAAAAAAATATATTAATAATTAATTTTTACTTACTCAACCTAATTAACTGACCAATTCATTCTTTTTTCAGTTTTTTCAAACCCAATTATATAGTCCAGTCCAACCCATAGTTTTCCTAAACTTAATTGCCCAGCCCCAACCTAATTTGCATTAGTAAGTAGTAACCCTAGAACTAGAAGGACTACTACCCATAGATGGATTTCAGATCTGCGAATCTACAAACTATGATTCCTCCTCCTTAGACCTGGCAAAAATCCACCCGACCCGTCAACCCGACCTTAACCCGACCTTAACCCGACCCTTAAAAAACGGGTTAGGGTTTACATATTTCAACCCGCAACCCGTACATAACCCGTATTATCAACCCGTACGGGTTACGGGTCGGGTTAGGGTCAACCCGTGGGTTGACGGGTTGACCCGTTTGTTTTATTT